CCCTTTCACTGTCTGTATTCGTACTGAAAATCAAAATCAAGCGAGCTTTTGCCCTTTTGCTCCACGCGAGGTTTCTGTCCTCGCTGATCTCGCCCGTTATGCCCGCGTCACATTGTCGACGAGCTTCGGCCGTATTTGTCAATCGCCGAAAGATCGGCCGATTTTGAGATCGACCGACGATCGCGCGTATTTTTTGGCTTGTAAATCGTCGCTGTCACATTGTGCGAGGCTCGGGCGTCTATGATAATGAAGTCCGTATGACATGGCACGCAGATGAAGCAAGGCCAGTGTGTCCACCTAAAAATGAATAGTTTGGCCAATTTTTATGTTTGACCTGTCGTAATATTTTTAGCAAAGTATTGGAGCGGAATGGCAGAATAAAATAGAAATATAAACAGGAATTCTGTGAAAGATCCAACTCAAATACTACCACAAGAGCCACAAATTTATACTACCGTCTGGTTAACACAACGACCACCTTTTTAACCAGACCGGAGTCGGCCGATGCTCGCTCGACACACGGGCGTACGTCGCCCGACGATCTATCGATGCTCGCACGATCTCTAGACCATTCAACCAAAACGTACAAGAAGACATAATGATTATCATTAAGTCAAAATCTTTTTACACACGCGTACCTGAACAATTAAAGCTAATAAGATATATTGTTCTAAAACTTTGCCTGTATACTTCTGTCTAAAATAGTATGAATCTTCCGGTAAACAAGTTAGCCATTCAATGTCATGATCAACAAAGTAGACAGAGGTAAAAAGACCCATGCAATATAAACCTCAACTAGTAAGTAATATGTATCACATGACGTTATTGTGGGCACCCTAAGAACAAAGGCAACCTCATTCCAGAATGAACAAGTGTAAACGTCAATTTCTTATACAATCATCTGAAATAAGGCCACACACTTCCTAAAGGGACAAGAGTAAAGAATTTCATGTGCGTTTAATCAGTTGAGGTCAAAATCTAGGCATTTGGCCTTATATAGTTAAAACCTCGTCATCTTTTTAAAGTGCTTTTATTTATTAACGAATGTTGATGTAACAAAAGGACAAAAAGGACGATTTTGTCTATTTTTATACTTTCTCGTAAATATAACGTTAACAATCAGTGGGACGTTGCTCCTGCAAACTTTACACAGTATACTGTCAATGCTTGCTTATGGCTGACCGTCGGGTGCCGACGATGTCCTCCCTCCTCTTTCCCTTCTGAGGTGGCGTTTTGCCCTCCCGGCTCCGACAGCTCATTGAGTCTCCTCGTATAGAGCTGTGACCCGGCCGTGCAGGCGCTCCTCCACCCACTCCTGTCTGCTGCGCAGTGTTCCAAGTCTTGGGTGGGAATGTCACATTTTTTCAAGTTGTGTTTTAAGCAGTCCTTGAAACGCTTATACTGTCCTCCGACCGCCCTCCTGCCATGTGTTAGCTCACCATAGAGGACTTGTCTTGGCAGACGGTTAGGGGGTAGGCGGATTAGGTGACCAGTCCATCTCAGCTGTCTCTGTAGTAAGATGGTCTCCATGGGGTCGACGTTGGCCCTCCGACGTATTTCGACGTGAGGGACCTTGTGCCACCATTTGAGTCCGAGAATTCTTTGTAGGCATCGGATGTGGAAGCGCTCAAGAGTCGTATGTGTCGTCTGTAGCGAGTCCAGGTCTCGCTGGCGTAAAGCAGGATGGACAAGCATACTGCCTTGTAAACCGCGACCTTTGTCTGTGTAGCTAAGTCCTTATTCAGAAAAACTCTGCTCGAGAGGCGTCCGAAAGAATCAGATGTAAGTCCGATTCGCCTCTGGACGTCGTCAGTGGCGTCAGAAGGTGAGGTCAGGACTGATCCCAGGAATGTGAATGATCGGACATTCTTCAGCTGTGTGCCCTTGATCTGTATACGGGGGGAGCTAGAACCTTGACCCTGGAACATCACTTCTGTCTTTCCGGTGTTGATACCCAGACCGGCACGGGTATACAGTGCAGTGTCGAGGGTGTCGAGGTTCCTCTGCAGGCCAGCAGCTGAACGGCCAACGATGGCAGCGTCGTCAGCATACTGCAGCTCGAGGATGGTCTCGTGCTTGACTCTGGTTGGAGCTTTCAGTCTACGAAGGTTGAACAAGCTCCCGTCAAGTCGGTATGTCATGTCGATGCAATCTTCAGGGTTAATGTTCTTTTTGGCAGCAAGCATTACAGCAGCGAGGAACAGGTTGGGGGGATGGGGGAAAGTCGGAGTGTTGACCTCCTAGTGGTACTCCCCGGGCAACGGTGACAGCAATGACCCTGGGTTGCGATACCACCGGGGCGGGGAGGGGAACTAGCAGGTCCACCTGCAGCGCTCCCCCCGCTCCTGGCAGGTTCAACCATGGTGGGACGGATCCCGGGGGAGCTGCTGCTGGCTAACAACACCCGCTGCAACCCCCATGCAAACCAGTTGTCTCGGTCTATCCCGTGCCACTGGAGCTTTTGCTTGGAGGCCAAGATAGTGGGCTGAGGACTGTGCAACCTCTTCCCACTTTAAACTTCTTTGCACAGCATTCTCTCCTCATATTGTCAATGCAATCTCAAATAAATGTCACAGGTGCTGAATAAGTAATGACTTCACAGGAGCTCGGCCGAGGCTCGTAGAACCTTCGTCCGACACTGGCACGAAGCTCGCTCGAAGCACGCACGATTTTAAAAACATTGCGCAAGTCGGGCGAGGTACGGAAGAGGGTCGCCCGAATATTTCGCGAAGCTCGCGCGAGGGTCGACCGTATTCAGCTACCGTCGCCCGATTTTCAAAGACGAAATACGGCCGAGACTCGTGGGATCTACGTCCGAATATCGGTCGACTCTCGGCCGCACAGGGGCGAGCTACTCGCCGGCGACTAGTCGCTCATGTTAAGAACACGTTTCGCGTGTCAGCGAGCTTCGGCCGACTTAAAAAAATCGCCGGCGATCCCGAAAATTCGCGCGATGCTCGACGGAACATCGGGCGTACTACGGCCGTAAATGTCGTTTAGAGCTCGCCGACTAGTCGGCCGATCGATTTACGCGCAATGTGACGCGGGCATTAGGACACCTGCGTTACTCTTTGACAGATGTACCGCCCCAGCCAAACTCCCCGCCTGACACTGGTCGTGTTTAAGTGAAATCACCCAAACCGCGATTCGGGTAACTCACATTCCTCACATCTGGTGAAACCGTGTCCGATTACAATTCGCTTGAGCTACATTTATTGCTATTTGATGATAACACGCAAGGTGGCGTGTTATTAATGTCAGAGGTCAACGACCTGCTTGCTGATGCCCCCTCCCAGCGTATCTCGGCCGAATGCCAACGTGGTCCCGCCAGAGGCGGTGAAGCTCGCCCTAGAACGGACACATTATTTGACCATTACTGCTCTTTAAGTTGCTGCCACGTAAACGTTGGTATTGTATATAAATAAAGAAATATCACCCCGTAATCCATGACCAGGCGAAGTTACATTGAAATCCCATTGCGTTCAGACGCAAATCGCGATGCGGGAAAACCGATTCGAAACCACCTCTAGAAGTGGCTTGGGATCGAGGCGCTTTCAATGTGATTTCGGAGCGTTCACATGGATCCACTTGAAACCGGCTTCGGGATAAACCACATGTAAACCGCCTTGGGTGATTTCACTTAAACACGACCACTGTCTTGGGAGCGGATCGCGCCCGGCTGACGACCGCGATGCCGATGATCGCGGCCGGCCAGTGCGCTTAACGCCAGAAGGAAAAGCCCGCGAGGGGCTCGCTTTCCGCCGGTGCCGTGGCCGCCTCACCCAGTAAGCAAAGGAACGATGAGAGTAGTGGTATTTCACCGACGGCCCAAAGGCCTCCCACCTATGCTACACCTTTCATGTCCCTTCACAGAGTTGGACTAGAGTCAAGCTCAACAGGGTCTTCTTTCCCCCGCTGAAGCCCGTTCCCTTGGCTGTGGTTTCGCTAGATAGTAGATAGGGACAGTGGGAATCTCGTTAATCCATTCATGCGCGTCACTAATTAGATGACGAGGCATTTGGCTACCTTAAGAGAGTCATAGTTACTCCCGCCGTTTACCCGCGCTTGGTTGAATTTCTTCACTTTGACATTCAGAGCACTGGGCAGAAATCACATTGCGTCAACACCGCCCGACGGCCATCGCAATGCTATGTTTTAATTAGACAGTCGGATTCCCCTGGTCCGTACCAGTTCTAAGTCGGCTGCTTCGCGCCGGCCGAAGCGGAGCGGGAGATCGAGAGCAAACCCCCGACCGCGGAGCTGAGAGCGTTCACGAGTCAGTTACATCGCCAGGTCCGGGCTCGACCCGACGAGCGAGCCAAGCACAGCCCCGGACATTCCCGTCTCGCTTCTGGTCCCAGCCCGACCGGCTCAGCCCTAAAGGTTAAGTACAACTTAGGCTCGTGGCGCAGGATCACATACAACTCCTTATTTTTGGGGGGGGCTCTGATCGCACGCCGACTGCTCCTGAAACGCCTGCAACACACAAAGGTGGCTACTCAGCGGGAGAGATCGCATTACCTGGCTTTTTTTTTTACAACGAACTTAATGTGTTATTCCACGATCATCCCAGCTCTAGACCTATAGAGTGTAGAGACAGCGATGACGACACTTCTCGATCATAACGATGTAACCTTTTTGAGCGCGGGTGCAAATTTGTATCGTGGCCACAAATTGCAAACCGTTTCTGCTCGGATCGTAGCTACGAATGAAACCGGTTTGATTTTTGCATCATGAACGGGGTCTCATTCTTTACATGGCTAGGCCAAGTATCTATCATATGGAGTAAAATCCGAGCTGACTTGAAACTTCTCGGGTCATTCTAGATTTTAAAATTTTCCCGGGGGAGCATGCCCCGGACCCCCCCTAGGATTGTCGCGCCCGATATGTGAGTTGACGGAAAAAAATTCAGGCTGGCTAGAACACTGATTCAAAGTTTCTATTTTTTTCAGCTAGCCTAGGCTAAATCTAACTTACCCAATAAAACACACAAAGCATCGTTTATCATTCTGCACTGGTAAACTATATTTCTATTCAGCCATGAGGAAACAAAATATCAAGTGCATCACATTATATTATATGAAACATTGTCTAATTTATATTATTCATCTCCAAATATTTTCACAGCAATGCTGATAAGTTTTAATCTTTGGTCTGATTTGCTTACAATCCAAGGAATAAAGAACAAAAATTAGACGGTACCATCTACTATGTTGACCTCTACATTAGCTGTGAATATTATTCTATCAAGTTTTAAAAAATCAACATGCGCTAAGCTCGAAGAGACGCGAACAGTTGGCGCAAGAAAGGCCAATAAATGATTATACAAGGCAAGCGATATGAATTTGATACCATCAAAATTTTGACAACTTTATACACGTACGTTTGCTCAGTTTTCATGCGTGCAAATCGTGATGCTCATGTTACATGTAGCTTGTTTAGCATCATCCCCTAGCCAACCTTCTTATTTACAAAACTGCCTTCTATCTCAAAATACAACATGCTTTATATTTGTGATACTATATATACATAACATTTCAATAGGTTCATACAGAAAGCATATTCAGCATAACGTACACTTAACCTATCAACCATCGGGACAACTTGAGAAGATAATATGCCGTTTAGCCTTAGTTACTGAAGAAACACCTGCCGATGATAGGCAGTGTGATATCTTCGATTGTTTTAAGATGTGCTTGTCGGGAGCCCTTGTCCTTCTCCACCAAGGCTATCCCCGTCACAACAAAGTCTTCATCTTGAAGAATAGAGCGAAAACCGTGCCGTTCTTCTTCATACTGTACTGTGCACGTCATGGTCACTAGGACTCTTTTGATGGCTTTACCGTCCACGATTTCAGAAGCGACCTCCCGTTGTGGTAGAGGGACGCTCCCTACATGTACCTTGCCGATGGGTCGTCCGTCCATACTGCATAGAGTGTACTCGTCGTTAGTATTGACGGCCACGATGCTGAAGCCAAAGCCGTTGGGATGTGAATCAGACCAGAAGTAGTTGCTGTTCTTGTTCAGCTTGTCACCCTGAAAGGTGATGCGCTTCCCATAACCTCGTCCCACCTCTTGCAGTCTCAGAGCTCGGCCGCCAAATAGGAACCTTTTAGTGTTCAACACGCGAACCTTGTAGTGAAAGCCAGGTAGAATGGTCTTGTGAACGTAGGTACCTGTGGAAACAGGGTACAAATGTTATGGTTAGGTTTGTCATTTAAAAAAAAAGCCACCCCTCACCTCTTTTTGCCTAGTCTCCATTAGACTCCATTGTAGGCTAAACAAATAGTCGAAATCGGCCTAATAATGGTAGTTAGCCGTCCATGGTAGGACAAGCAGGCCAATTTGTCCTATTGCCGACTATTGTGGCGGCACACACAATCCTTGGCTAATTACATATCCTTTTACGCAGGCTTTTACGATTTCGATTCAGCATGCAAAGGATTCTGGTGGAGACTATTTTCGCTTTCCAAAGAAGGCGCAAATGTGCATGTTGACAAACGAGCTAAATATAGATAAATTTTACGTGTACTGAGCAAAGTACAAAGATGGTGGGTCAGATTATTGACATATTTTAAATCAGAAATCATATCAAGCACTAAACCAGAAATTTTACGAAGGCGGCATGTCATACCAAGGAGGTTAAATACTTATGTGTATGTAAGGTAAGAAATGATAATGAAAATAATGAAACAAGTGTTCCACGACCTCATACAGTCGCAAATGATGTTAGCCATTCTGACGAAATTATACATCAGATTATGAAAATAAGGTCCTCCTTTCATATCTATCATGGATCATATCAGTTGGTCATATTCTCCACCCAATGACAGCTATTCTAGCACTTCCTCATACATTACCATGCAAATGAGGCTATGTCTTGAATAAATCATGTTTATTGACATCTAAAGCTTCTTGAGTTGTCATGCTAAACCACACACACGCAGACACGCTATAACAAGTTATATGGAAAACATAACCTTCTTGGCGAAGGTAAAAAGGCTTTGTGTGGCGAGGTCGTGAAGTTTTGAAGGCTAACATTAGTAAGCCGCGCTTGGTTTCTGGTGCACCGCAGGGTACTAATCTTGCATACAAACAACGCACTTCGCGAACCATGCAGGGCGAATTCATGTTCTTCGTCACGTGCATGCTGCTGCTATGTTTGCATTTATAGGGGCCGGAACGCGGGCCGGCAACAATCGACTGTGAAGCTTGACTAGTGAGAAAACGATCTTTACAGAGAACTTAATTTCACGGCAATAATTTGTACTGTAAGGTACAATGTGGTAAGAACTACAGAAGATAGTACAAAGAGGTATAGAATGAAAAAAACAACAACAAACAAACAACTAAAACATAACGTTTACTAATTTATACTAAAAAACAAGGGCTGGTATAAATAAATTATATACAATCGACTGAATCGAGTGGATCATAGTAAATTTCGGAATTTTTTCTAATAACCAAGCAGTCTTTTATACATTGTATATTTAGCTACGTTATTCCACCTTACGATATATTCAAATCTGTCTGTGACAGCTCTCAAAGTCTCTCTTGAAATCTGTTGCACTTGATTTAATGAAATTCGAAAAGGCATTTCCAGGACAATGCATCTTCAATTTGCCTGGGACAAAACATTTGGTCAGGAGCTACATTTTCAGGACAGCTACTGTTAGATCTTGTTATAGGAACAGCTGTTCTTTTATTACTAACAGATCCACGAGAACAGATCCTAACAGACGGGAAGAAGCCTTACTCGACTGTAGACGGTATCAAGTGTTTATAGGCGCTACCAACAGATTCGGCAAACGGGTCTAGACCTTTTAGCTCTGGTGCCCAAGAGGTTGTGGGTTCGAACCCCGGCCCGGGACCAGAAGGGATTTTTACTGTCTCCTCCTGTTTCTTACAGTTATATGGGAAGTAAGTACAGCGTATTATAGAAGAGGCTCTACAAGTCGCCACGCTTTGTTGGTGTAAATGAAAAGGATAAAGGTGTAATAAAAAGGGGTACAGAGAAAACGTAACTTGGTTATCATACCTATAACTGGCATTTCGTGCCGTCTGATTCCAGAGACGCTGTACTCGGTGGGGACGTCTCCCATGTCCGACCCGCTAACAGTACACTCCACCTCATCCTCGGCGTCATACTCGCTGCCGCCCGTGGAGATAGATTCAGGCGACTCCCCACGGCTGTCCTTCAGGCCTAGCTCGGGCTGCTCCAGCCACCACTTACGGAAGATCGCGTTCTCTACCCGTCGGATGGATGTGGGATCTACCGGCTTCCTGATGCGGGCCGGATGCGTACGGTAGGCTCCCCACTCAGGCCAGCCCTCTTCATCTAAGGGTAGTTGGTCGTCACTGCCACCGGACAACAGAGACCGAATGTCGACAGCGTACTTGGGATGATACTGGTTGTATTCTGCCATCTTCTTCGTAACTTGTTTCCGAATAAAAATGTTTATTTCAGCTTGTCCCGTAGAAGATACGCACGGTTAAACTTCAGTTGTCAGGGCAGATAGGGGACGGTAGTGGAACGATGGAAGACTACTGAAATGATAGGTGACTGTAGAAAAGGAGTCGAGGAAACAACGAACCGTGTCAACAAATTATTTTCACAGACAACCACGCCAACAGCCGCTGAATATACCGTCTACCCAAGCTGTTGAATCTAGACCGGCATGAACAATAACGGTGTCAGGATATGAAATATACTTTGATGTCTGTGCTACACTGCAAGTTCTCCTGGCACACAGAGTAAATAAAAATCGTGTAGGAAAATTTCTGCACGCGCCCGCCTCTGTCAGACGACCGCAATGTTGTGAATGGCCATCTGTCCGCTCGTACGCACTATTCTGTGGTTGGTGGTCCCGTCACTATCATGACGGTGATTGGTCAGATCTCGAGGCATGGTAGCAGCGTGCTCACTGCATGTTCAGTGCATGAAAGGCGTAACGTTTACCTCGTGATCCTAGCACGTGGCGCGAAACACGGTGGGGCCAGCACCATGCCGTTGAACATACCTTTTTTAGAGCCTGTGGGAAAGGCCATTAATACACCTGTAGTCAGCGGGAATATGTGGGGCTGCTATGCTTACACTTCAGTGTTGGGAGAAATCTAACAATTCTATTGGTAATATTCATAGTCCAGTATATCGTACTGTGCTTGGCGATGATTTATATAACATACTGCTGTGTAATACTGCATTAAATGCACGGGCAAGTGGCCTTCTGTTTTGTTCTGGGGCATGCTGAAAGGTAGTTAATGGATGGTCCCTAGCTGTCCCTAGCTTTTATAACGTCTGTATCTGTTGAGTGGAGTTTATCGAAAACCGATCTGTTTTAATTACGTATCTCGATATCTTTCTTATACAACATATTATTTAATTTTTTTTTAACAGAAATGATTGATATATAACAACGTTTAATATAGTTCAGCAATATGGTGTTACCTCAATGATGAAGTTTATATAAAAAGTGGCGAGGTCATCACGAGCAATTCCAACTAGATGTTATGCCCTTTGCTTTGGAAAAGGCACACGACTTCCTGAAATTCATTCAACTATATTAGCTATAAAACACGTAAAATGGCTAACTGACATGCCTGACGTTGGTATGTCTAAAAAGAGGGGGATGGACTCCGCCTTCCAATACCATGCCAAGACATAGTAACTTGACTTGACATAGCACCCATAGGGCCCCCTCGCCTTCATAAAGACTCTATGGGACTACCCTTTACCTTAGGAGGGAAAGCAGACACACTCATTCTAGCTTCAACGTTACCCTTTTTATTAAAGAGTTTATAACGTTACCTTTCTTTCATAACCGTAAACTCTGCTCTACTCTAGTATAAGACGTGTGCTAAAATGATTTCAAGGGGGGGATATAATGAGCTAGCACTAAAGAAATATTGCTAGAGTGGAAAATCCCTTTATCCAAAAGTGTGAAAGAGAATCAGAATAAATAGCAATTTGGACAGAGGGAGATATAGAATATGGAAACTGGATTGTATACACCTTTCATGTGCTTCAAGCAATATTACCCCCCTACTATGATTGGTCTAGTCCGGGGGTATCCTCTTTGGCCCGACAACACAACTGGCCATTTGTGGACTGGCGTCCGGTAAGGGAGGCACGTTCCACACCAAACAGTTGCAGTGCTAATCAACTGGTTACCTGCTGGCTATGTAAAACGCAGAAGTGCCGATCGTCTTACAGGTGAGCGTGAATGTTGATTCATATAGCCAGGAAATAGCATACGTAAAACGTCAAGCATTGAGGTTGCCTGGTGTCCTAGTACCTGGGCCTAGATGCTACTCTACTCTACTCTAATCAGAGAAAGGCCTGCGTTTTTTGGCACGTTCGTTCGTCTGTTGCTACAAGCCGGTAGCTAGAAGAGCTAGGACACGAGAAAAAATACTGTCTTTCTACTTTGTCGAAAATAAATGTTCGTTTATTGATCAAAATTGCCATGGCGTTCGTGGCAGCGGCACAGGGTGAGTGGGATTTTCCATGATTTTGAGGCAGTGCACATGTGCTAGTCTGTTGACATCTGACCTATTTGTTTTTAATTTTAGCTTCGAACAGAAATAGCCAGCACAGCACGCTTCGAGGCTTCCGGTCTACGTAACGTTACTGTAAATTCAGAAATTTATGCGGTGGTTTTATTTTCACGGTGACGTCCCCTTTACGAATTGGTGACGTCCACAATGCGAATTCAAAACACATTATAGTTACTTGCAAATTAGAGACGTTAACTTTAGTCTCTGTTTTGAATAGATTAGCCGTTTGACTCTTTGAGATTGTAAATCGTGGATATACATTACTAGCACCCCGCCCACCCAAGCAGATGTCTGGAAAAGCGTTATGGTACAGTTCTACCTCCTGGACCTCAGCTGGCAAATGGTAACGTTACATGTCTCTGTCTCGCAAATGAATACTGCCTGGCCAACTTCAAATGACTTATGAATGACTGGGCTTTGCTTCCATTGTCCTGAATCATGTGACACACTGGGAATTACAATAGTCATGATAGCTGTGAGAGGTCATGAGAGATGACAGACTTCACCCCCCTATTGACTCATAGTGTCCTCACAGGAGCCAAACTCTAACCAAGGACATTATACACAGACTATGCTGGCAGTATAACCAATTCAACAAATTGGGAGGGAAATTTGCCAGGGAAGTTTTGCCACCATGCTATCTTTTTTATTCCGTTTTATTTCCTTTTTTATGACCACAGGACGGAGTGTTGTGAGCAGGCGTTTTTTCGTGTTCACAGCTAGAACACGGGGTTCCCTTTGTTTTAATCAGCATGCAATTTTATACGTCGACTGCAGGCTAGCCCGTGTTGATGCACGTGTCTTTATTTTTACCGTTGCTGTTTTCGTGGTCAATGTAATATTTTAGATGCACCCCTACATTTATGAGGCAAATTGGAATGATCCAGAAAAACCCGTTGTTTTGAATGGGGGGGGGGGTGGGTGTGGATGCCTCAAGCAGATGTGGGGAGGGGTCGATAAGTAGTACCAGATGTTTCGTCCCCAGGAAAAGCCATGGGGCCGTTTTTGGAAGATGTTCGCAGTAAAAATGCATTGCTCTGTACGCATGTGGTGTGCATTATGTCTGTGATGATGCACATCTTTTTATTTTCACCGTAGAGTTTTGATATTGAAGTAAATGAATGTTTTAGAAACATGCCTACTTTTACAATCCTGTGGAATAGGCCGTAGGTTTTGGTAGTTGTCTGGTAGCCGAGGTTATGTGGCAGATATTAGGTGGCTGTTGTGCATAATGGTTGCAAGTATCTTTTGGGATTCTGGTAAATGCACCTACTGTGATTGTTACCTTCTCAAATGAATAATATGTAGTAAATGAAAGATATTGTTATGAAAGCTGACTTTGTTCATATACTAGTATTTAGATTGTGGTGTTGTTGATTTTATGTAGCCTGTGTTTATACCAGTCAGTGTGCAACTGTTTCCCCAAGCGGGGCGGCAAACCTCTGGGCAGGTGGCCACCAGAAGCGCGATTTATTTTATCAGGCTAGATTATTAGACCAGGGATTTAGCCATTTTTACGATACATTGTTACCAGTTAAGTGATCACACACTGTTTACATACACTATACTGTTCTCAATCTGCAAAATATAAAACTTCACGGAGAATTGTCGCCTATGGACACTTCTTTTTTTGTAAAGACTTTGGCAATCTCTACTGACCCAACTTACATACTGTTAAACCAAGTATTTTCAAATTCAATGTCAATGTTGGATAACTGATTGTACAATGTTTCTTCACTTAGGTGTCAGATCATGGAGCTAGAAAAGGTCGATCAGCTTGAAAAATGTATGTCCCTTGTAGGGATGGGCTAGGGTTGTTGCAGGTATGCACAAAAGAAGGCTAGGGTCGACAGTTTTTTCTGGGGTTGGTCAGGAAACATGTAACATTTTTTTTTCATAAGCCCTTAGGCTACTGTGTAATATATATATATAGCCCTGACCTGAGGGTAAAATGTACCCTTCCTCTCCTCTTCAATGTAGCATATTCAATTGTTTTGGCATGTTCAAGGTTCAAAGGTACACTTCTAAACCGGTTCTAACCAGTAGCCATACATGCACCTGCACATTGCATGTGCAGGAGGAGACTGAGGTAATATGTACCCATGTGTTACTACAACATTGCTTACGCCAAAAAGCAGTTACTCAAGCAACTGGATATGATTTTGAAAACGTCAGACGTTTCAGCTAGTATCCACTAGCTTTCGTCAGTGACTGAGAGACCAGAGGGGGAAACAGGTTTATAAGCACAACCTAGTGCTTTTTGGCGTATCGTATTACCTGGATGTCTAACCTTCATCGACGTACAACATTGCTTCTTTGATGTCTTGCCAGTCAGCTTATAATGATATGATATTTTGTATACCGTACGTAAATTCTTGGGCACTCTGGCAAATCCAGTCCTGTGTATGTGTACAACTCATATTAATCATTCTTAATATTCAAGCTGCAATTAACAGCAATACCTTGATGGGAGTGGGCTGTTTTATTACCAACTATAAATGTCAAAATTGTGCAATAATAGTACAAATATGTTGAAATTGTAAGTAGACAACCACATCAACGTTTCTTTAAATAAAAATTTCAAATTTTTTGGTGCAAAAATGTTGCATGATATGGCTATTGGTGCCCCTTTATTCAGATATAGTGTAAGTACTAGTAATCTGCAGAAGCTAGACCTTGGAAGGGGAAATTGTAGGGTTTTCCGACTGCCATGTTTTTCAGGTGCTGTGAGTGAGTGTAACATACCAGAGTATATTCTGACCAGGGGTATTTTTTGGCCTGTTACACTAGTACTCTATTAGTCCTTTTTACGAGAGATGCATATCGTATGCATAACAGGGGTATGGTTTGGATCAGGCAGGGTTCTGGATAGTCTTCGCATATCCAAGGATGTATATTTGCCCCAGGCACAGTTGTGAAAACGTGGACTATCCAGAACTGAGCATAGGATGTAGTTTTGGGTATGTGTGTCTGCCTGTCCCTGTTGTATTGATGTAGAATTGTTGTATCCGTCGATCCAGCTACATTATTACAAGTGAAAATTCACTGGGAACAACATGTACATGTACTGCTGTACTGATTTGGTTTTGTGATTGGAAGCCTGATAGTGTGAAGAAGGTATTTGATATGCTAGTCCAATAGTGGCAGAGATGGGTGTTCTAGGTATACAGTGCATCATTGTTACTTCGTTAAGGAGGCCTGAACCTCCGGACGGAGTGTTGTGAACAGCCGTTTTACGTGTTCGCAGTCAAAAATATTGGATGATTTCTGCAATTG